CAGAAGCTTTACTTATAACAAGAAAACAAGATTCTTAATTCAAAAAAAAATGTCGAAATCGATAAAATATTTAACAAAAAAGAAAGTCAACTTGTACGTTTGCGTGAATTGAAACAGTTTCGTATTAATTTTATGGCTGTATGGTGTTTGTGCTTTAGACTTTTACTGCTGATAAAAAAATGGTATCGATGGTGATCATCGCGAAATTTTAGCAAGACTCAATAAATTTCACTGTTAAAATCGCTAAGTAAAGGGCGGAGCTCGCATGTAAATTATTCGATTACGTCAAAACCTGTAATACAACTTTCTTTGGAGGCATCTCATAAAGTACAAAAAGTATCTTCGTCATTTTGTACACTTGTACAACATACTCCATTGCCGAAGTTACGCGATTGTTTTTTTTTTCTTAATTATGATGTTTTAATCCATCATCAACTTGCCCTTATCCCTTATTGAGGGTCGGCACAGTATGTGCTGCTCTTCCATACATCTCTATCAGCCGTCATATATGAATCCACTCCTTTCTTAAGCATATCCTCTTTCACACAATCCATCCATACTTTCTTCGGTCTTCCTCTTCCTTTGTAGCCATCCACATTCATTCTTAACACTTTTTGGCTTAATGTCCCCATCGTCTCGTTGCATAACATGTCCACGCTAACCTTTTATGATGTTTTAATCCATACTATTTTAATATTTGTTATATAACGCAGTCGAGGGCGGAGTAATACTTAAGGGTGTGCAGTGGGGTTGTCGTCCCCTGTTGCCTAGCAGCACGGGGTCACAATAGGCAACAAGAGGGTTGAAAACGCCGGCGCCAAAATTGTCTCAAGTTTTCCCTTTACTGGAGTACAAGACAACTTGGTTTATTTTACGATCTTTTTCTAGTAAGCTAATGTATTTGTTTAGATCATACTACTTAGGTCTTTATCTTCAACATTTATTTAACTTAACTTGATTACATTACCGTGAGACTTTTTATGTTATTTCCGTTTGTCACTGCGTAGAATAAACAACACGGTAAAAACTACATCCTGCGTTCAATTTGCCATATGGGCAATCTGTGACGTAAGCCGCGACCCTGTCTGTCCGCTGTGATAAAGTGAGTTAACATTACACAAATGTAATAGTACATTGCATCCAATCTACAAATATCCAGGCATGAAAGAGAATCGTCCATAAATGAGTAAATAAAAAAACAATAAAGAAATCAGTGGAATTCTACTCCCAAAGCGCCTATTTAAAACACATTTCTAAAATATCAGAGAGATGATACTAAAATTTTAATAAAAGTTATTGGACTGTGTAAACCCGCACTTATAAAGTACGATTTCACTGAGCTTAATAAGTCGAATATACCGTCTTAAAATCTCGGTCTCTAATTGTAAAGTATCGTTTATCACTCAAGATGCTTATCTTTAGAAATGAAAAGGTCATTAATAAACTTTTAGAAGGCATTTATCTTGCGCATGATTGTGTAGTGTGGACGCAGTAACGGCATCTCTGGACAATAACAAGATATTTTTTTTTAACCCGTTATGTTAACCAAATAAATATTTTTATTCTACCTCTGTTTTTCTTAACTATGTAATGTTTGTTTCATTGCCATTGGATGACTTCATATATTTCGAATTTTATTAAAATCGTTTTCGAATTGTAATCTTCTATAGAATTTTGTTTTAGACCTTCCCCCTCTCAAATAATAACAGCAACATTGAACAAAATATATTTTAGGACATGTCTACAAAGAAGTCAAACATATGGATGTCCTAAAGATTTATTTTGCTTCAATGCTTAGTAAATCACTATTTTCTCTATAAAATGTAAAGGTATTGACGTTTTCTCACACTTCAACGATCACACAGGCGTCTGTAACCGCACGTACTCACGTAATATGAAGTGACACATTCCTCAATTGAGCCGGTGACGCGGCGAGACACGGCCGTACACAAATTGATGCCAATTTGAGTCTCCGGCTGACTCACGTACGTTTGGTACAGCGGTCCTCGCTGCATATGAGTTTTTTTATCCATATCAATCAAGTTACTCTGTGAAAATCAATTTAACTCATAAACCTTTAGTTAGTTAAACGAGAAATAACAGCAGTAGTTACAAGAAAAATTATTCATTAAAAGGAACATTACAACCATAGAGGCTTACGTAGAAATTTTTTCCCCATCAAAATGCCTGACAACATTAAAAATACATGCGTTTTTGTTTTAAAAATTCAGATTGGCATTCCTTATGGTGCCATAATGATGTACCAATCTAGCCTATCTGTGCGTCAGATAACCTAATTTAGTTAAATTTTTTTGATTGATTAATTCATTGTATAAGGCAGCGTTAACATTCGCCTGAAATAACTACGTCTGTACAAGGAATCGACAATTTCAACAGCCAAGTATAGCTGACGAAGTGTTGACTACGGGTCAGTGATAGGGTTGTCAAAATAATCATTTTTATTATGACACTAGATTTCACCTGCGACTCCGTTCAGATGAATTAAAAAAAACATAAGTAAGTATCCTATGTGTACTTCCAGAATATCCTCTACATCTATATCAAATATCATTGAAATCCGTTCAGCCGTGTAGGCTACAAGCTGTAACAAACATCCATCCATCTAAACTTTCGCATTTATAATATTAGTATGATAGTATGATTATAATTAGTAACATTTATTTTTCGTTTTGTCCATGCGTTGTAAGTAAGGTCAAAAAAAAAAAACCAGAACTTTAATTATTAGATGTTCTGACTACTTCAAACTTTACAACGGAATAAAATGAGATAACCAAGTCACATAAATTCTGTTAGAAAAGTGGAGCAACCAATTAAAGTTTCAAGCTTCTAAGGAAATAAAATTTTATTTGTAGCAACCCTAATGGTATACGTCCGTCCTTGCCGCGATAATTGGTAGACTTGGAACTATTTAGATCCCTGCGACCGGCAGCGGGAACCGAGGAAATGTGGTATTATACAAGTTCATGGCTATAATGTTAGTACTGAATCTGAATAAACCTCAATCCGGTAATAGTAACGAAGTAACGGTTCCTGCCGACGCTCCTGAGGGAACCCTCGAGCTTAGGTACTCATGCTCAGGTTTAGGCTAAGCGTCATTTGCGCTCGGCCACCTCAAGCCCGGTGAATCTGTAAATGCCTCTTCAAGGCAAACAGTGGCCATTCAGTGACCAAAAAAAACTAAACTTTATTGTTTCACACGTTTTTACGCAGTCTCTAAAATCGCATTGTAACGAACGTGTTTTGTTACTCTCCAGTATTTAAAAGTTGGTACTGCTTTTAAAATTGTATGATCGTTCTAAATTTAATGGAATTAAATTCTCATACACAACAATAGCATAAAAACCGGTTCACACGATCGTATCATTTTACATCATCATCACCAGCTCACTATACGTCCCCACCGAGGGGCTCGGAGCCTACCCTAATATGGGGTGACTAGGCCATAGTCAACCACGTGGTTTGAACACTTGACTTGTAATCTACAGGTCTTGGGTTCGAATCCCGCCATGTACCAATGTGATTTTCGATTTTTCGAATTTTCATATGTACATAATTTACCCGACGTTCTTACGGTGAAGGAAAACATCATTTTACATAAGTAGTACGAATTAACTTTATCTTACATTTCGATGTTTTAATGATGATTCATTTTTCAAACAGTTGCCCTTGACCTTTCGTTGTTAATTAAATCAAACTCCCGTCTTGAAAAAACTTGGTTCTGTTAAATTTCTATGATGTACAAAGTAATTTAACAGAACCAAGATTTTATGTAAGATTTTTATTGATCGTATCTTACCTGTCTGGCGATAAAAGCTTCAATGTCTATGGTTTCTTTTAACCACAAAAACAATTTGAAGACCATAAATCGATCTGCGTGTGTCGGAACAGTTATTACAGCATCACCATGATGATGTCAGAGGGACTTTTCTAGAAGTAGGATTAGAACGACAACGAATATTTTTCTTCTCTGAGTCCAGATCTATTTTAGTTTTATGAAAACTCTAGCTGTTCCCCTGCGGCTTCATCCGCATGAAATTGTGAAAATTTTATTTCATTGTTAACATCTGTCGAATTATCAATTACAAATGTCAAAATGACATGACATGATGACAACCTTGCTTCCTTGATGTTGGCAGCAACTTATGGTCTCTTTCCCACATTAGGGTTTTTATCCAAAAAATTTACCCCCTAAGTTTAATGGCGTTAAAATATATAGCTTAAAGCCTGACGCAAGTGTAGGGCTTTTTATTAAAAAAGGAACTATTCAAAAACATGCTGTAATTGCTGACATCTTAGGCAACAAAGAAGTGTGTGTTTACGCTTTATTATAATAGTATAGAAGTATAGATCAGGTGTCTTGGAGATGTATTCGTTTTATCTGACTAATTTAGATAGCTTTACGAATTTAATATTAGTGTAAATTAAAGGTTGTATACACTGAAACTATATGAAATCCAGGCTAGTTTGTTACTAAATATGACAATTAAGTAAAACGTTATTCGAGCACTCTTAATATTCAAGTAAAATTCAAAACCGCACTATAAATTCACTTACATGAAATTATAAATCTAAGATATCACGTGTTTTACACAAATAAGTGCTTGAATTCTGTAATAAAAAATAGCACACACAATAGTGGTAACACACGCCATGTTTTAGACCATTTTAAGTATTATCTCTGAGAGTGTCTTGAATTTTTTACTTAAGCTCTAACAAGTTTGAATACAAGTTTATAGCAATCCGATTAATTAACTTTAATGCATAATAAATTCGCTTTGTAACTATGGGTTTTGGCAATATATCCAATCTCATAAGAATTAGTTAATTGTTTTTTTAGTATAAAAGATGCAATTAAAATGTGCGTATTTCCTGAAGATGCGTCGACGGCGGATATTATGATAATAAAAAAGTCTGTTTATGTTTTAAGTAACTTTTTAACGATGTGTTAAACAATATGTAATGGACATTTCCTTTTTCAGGATGTGGTGGACGATCACCGGCAACTTTGGGAACATCCTGCCCATAGATTGGACAAAGTCGTTCTCCAGAAAAATGCATATCCCCACATTGAACCTCAGCGATAAGAAGGTCAGTAATATTTACTTATTTAACAATCTTATGCAAATGAATATTTATACCTATATTTGCACATTCAAGGAATTAAATTCCGTACCCACTTTATCGAATATTAACAAAACACAAAGCGATAAAATTTAGCTCGTATTTATGTTGTTTGAACGAAACATTTCACTGGGTAGGGAATAAACGTCTCCGACTATATGTTGGGTAAGCTAACTTATACATAATCGAAATTTACATATTATGTGTAACCTTGAAAAATAAATTATGTATGTTCATATTTGGGTGAATCATAATTGCCTGTGCCCGTTTTGCTCAATAGATTAAATATACAACAAACAAAGTGCTTGCGAGGTCATATTGTTTTAACATCTGTCGCCTTATCTTTGTACATATTTGTTAAGTAACACACACACACACACATATAAACACCGACTTATACATTTACAGTTTAAAAAGGTTACCAACTCGTCTAAGAAAACCCCTAATGGATTGATTGTAGTACAATGTTTTTTTTATTGTATAAGGTGGCAAAGTACCAAAAATAATAATTCTTATACAAATAACATTGCCTATAATAGCCAATAAAATCATTAATATACTCCAGTTAGATAATTGCAATGTGAGAATTAATATTAAAAAAATAACAGAATCGTAATGCAAGCAACATCCAAGTCATCGGTAAAGGTCACATCACACTTACGTATAACATGTATATTAAAAATCTCATTCATACATTCCACATCACATTTAAAAAAACAAACGAACATACAATCATTTATTGTTCTCATTGTATTTCCTCGGCATCATGTCGACGCAGTGCACTACATCAAATATTAAAAATATGGTTTATACTAAGAAAAAAATATCTTTACGTACCGCACAATGACACAACTATGAGTGTCTTAGCTTAGCTATCGGGTTCTCTGAGAAAATATGTAAAAGCAAACCATTTTCCATGTTCATGTAGCGTAGAAAATGGCATAAAAACACGACGAAAACTACAGAATTTAAAGGATCTTGTGAGATTTTTGACACTGACCGTCTGGCGCTAGTGGGTAAATAATTTAGTTTGATTTTATGCCCATCGGGTTAAATATTTGTCATCCCTTTCATTCTTCCAAAATATGAGACAAGAATATGTTCGTGCAGTAGAAACCTAGGGTAATAAATAATGGTAAAGTTCGCACGTAAACGAAGATCTAGTGTGAATTGAACCTTAGTGATATTTCGTCACGCTCTCAATGTGACTTTAAACACTTGACACCGAATTAATGTGAACAAGCGTTTAATTTGCTGATGCTTCGCGGAATTATATCGCAGCTTGTTATGTTTACGACTTGTATATCTGCATCAAATTATAACATTCAAAGTATCTAGAATATAGTTGAAGAACACTGGATAATCTGCTTTCGTTTGTTTTTTCATAGAAAATATATGAGTGGAAACCCATATAAAAGTCACAATGTCGACTTTCAATGTTCGAAATTCAAACCTTAAGTTTATCATGACAACGTTTATATTTGCTTGCATCAGAGCGTGCTGAGCCCGGACGATGAGATCCACAGCTCGGAGGACGAGGCGGTGGCGTCCGACCTGGACATGCACGCGCTGATCCTGGGCGGCCTGCACCAGGACCACGAGTGCCCCGTCAAGACCGCCGATGAGGTAACTTACATGCAGTATAACATGGAAGCGACTTCAACTAACAAGCAATTCCCTTGATCTTATGTGGATACTTTAAAGTCAAAGAAACAAGTGCCTCTTGTCATCCGGTGTCTAGTAGTGTCTAGACTTGCTACCTAGGTAACATATTTGGTTTATGTTGTCCTGTCTAAATATATTACATATCTCTGGTTCCAGGTGATCCAAGAGATCGACGACATGATGCAAGAGACGCCCTCCTCGGAGGGCGACATCCTCGAGTACAACGAGGCGCTGGAGAAAGGCAAAGAAGTGCTGAACTCTCCGCTGTACGAGGACAGTGAGTATAATAAGAAAACTTTATGCAAGCCCGCGAATTTACGCGACACGCTGAACACAATTTTTAATAGTGCGGGTAAGAGACTCGGGGCAGCACAATCGTGAATGGGAATTCCATAATTTAACTTCAAATTACGTTAAATATTATTAACTTTTGTTTCTACTTCAATCGACACAAAATGTAAAAAATAGAATTATATTAGCTCTTATTACACGAAAGTAATGTATTGCAATAAATTTACACTCATTAGTACTTGCAAGTAGGCATACAATCTTAGCAATGTTTACCATCGGCTTAGTTCGTATTTTGTATAAAAAAACTCAAGCAACATGGGTCTCGTTTTTCTTTTGTTAATTTTAGCCCCTAACTTCTAAGTGTACTTGAAACTTTATATTAAAACAAACAAATAACATAGAGTATTGTAAAATATAAGTTTTTAAACAATCAATATTAAACTGATTGCATAAAAATGAATTATAATGGTATTAGTATACTGCAGTTATGTATACTCGCTGGCAACAAAACACACCTTGTTTACAATTTTAATTCACAGGGCATTCAACTTGAACGTTCGATATCGCAAGAGATTCTAATGTAAACAAATTTCAATTTATCGGTATATTGTATCGATATTTTAATATTGTTAATTGTTAGTCTAATTTTTCAATATTTGACGTGCTTAGTGATTTTTTACGTAAGAAAATTATGTATTCAAGTGTACATAGAGATCAGTATCTGCATAAGCGTACAAAAAACAAGGGCTCCGAGACTGAGCATAATAACTGACTTATCGAGTTCTTGCTCATCCATCGACTATAACACTTTATAAATTAATATCCTACTAGCTGTTGTCCGCTACTTTGTTCGCGTGGTATTAGAAAATATAAGAACTATAGAAATAACAAAGAGCTAACTATCCCTCGGACACCGGACATTTCTTGGGGTTGAACCCTAATCCCACGGGTCCTCCTGACTTCGTTTTATATCTGTGCCAAATTTCAATAAGATATGTTGAACCGTTGCAGAATGAACGAGTAAACATTATAAAACTAAATTAAAGTATCCCACGGGAACCGTAACTATTC